CATCACGCCGCCTTGTCGAGATTACAACAGAACCAAGCATATGTGCATAGAACAGAACCAAACCGATCACAACGCGATAGAGGATAATTCCACAGCGACCGAGTAACTGGTGGCCTATCATACGCGACATGCGCGCCAAATCCAGGCTGGCCTCAGAAACAAGCAGAAGCAGCAATGTCCGATTAGAAACCGTAATAATCGTAAGATGCGTCACGACGTCACGCCGGCCAGTCCACAACATACTACTACATAACATAATGTACTATATTACACTGGGCCCAAATCGAACCGATCATAATAAAACACACTAGTTCGCCAGCCACCAGTTCACGGCGTTGCATCAAAGGCGACATGCGCCCAGTCGTCAGTGGAGGACTGGTCGTCCAGAGCAGGTGGAGGAAGGAGAGGTCCGCCTCACCTCCTCCCCCGCCTCGTCTGTCCTCCGCCTCGTGCTGCTGCTGCTGCTCCTCCTCGTCCTCTTGCTTTCAACAGGTGGCATATTCCTCCGAACAACTTTTGGGTCTCGCAAGATTCGCTTTCGCGGCTGGTTTGCCGTTCCAGGAACTTGTTTCGGTTTTTGTTCGTCAGGGGCCTTGGGCCAGGGCCTTGGGGTTGCAACTTGCGACCTGGCCTGGCCGCTGCGCTGGCCGAGACCGTCGGGCCCCGCGCACATTGTTCCAGTAGGCGCGCGCACCGTTGGGAACAAACGCCGAAGTTTCCGGTGTGGATCGCTTGAAGCTGAAAACGTGCTCCTCCATTGCGCATAACATGTATTAGCGCCGCACACACTGCACAGTCTAATACACACAGACATACACACGTGCGAAGCTTTGTATACACACGCACGAAGCCGCAGCTAGACGGCGCACTGGCATATAATATCACGAATTATCCCAATCTGGGAGACAGTCGGGAACGCATACGCCACGCAGAGGGGAAATGCGTGGCATCACTAGAAATTTGTGCATTGGTGGCCCGCTGTTCGGCAAACTGCAAACGACACGGGTGGAAAAGGGGGGAGCAAGAAGGGGAGAAGGGGCGGGGGGAAGGGGGGGAGGAGAGGGTCACAGGCAATCAGCTAAACGGCGCAGTGTTGCCTGACTGCGGCTTGCCAGCCCGAAGGGTTCTGTAGCATGTGTGGTAACAGCATGCGGGGTACCAAGAGTAAGGCGTTGCCGTGTGTTTTCCTCTGTGCCCCCCCCGCCCGCATCATTGCGAGGCACATCAGGCAACGTGCACCGCATCAACGCGTACTTATTTCGCAAACCCGTTGTTTCCCTGTAGGTCTGGGGGATCAGTTTCGCCGTCGATGCCATATCCTATGAGTGTTTCAATGACTGTTCGTTTCCATTGTCCACGCGAGACCTCCTGAGGCTTCCAGAAGGCTCCAGAAGCCCATAGATGACAAAAGAACTCTCTCCCGTTCTGTTTCTCTATCTCTCTTCCAATTGCGATGCGAAAGAGGAGGAGAGGAGGAAGAGGAGGAGGACGACCAGTGCAAACCCAAGACGCACCAGTAATGCTGAAATCGACCCTCGCTTCAACGTCCAGCTTCATAGGCCCCTTAAGCCCCCTCTTCATAAGCTCCGTTGGGGGACAATCGCGTGTCAAAACACCAGTCCTGGGATTGGAGAGGCCTGACGGCCGGTGCCGCCGACCCTGATCGAAAGGGCTAGGAGTTGGGGGAGGAAGCGGAGGATGAGGAGGAGGAGGAGGAGGAGAAGGAGGAGGAGGAGGAGGAGGAGGAGGAGAAGGAAGAGGAGGAGGAGAAGGAGGAGGAGGAGGAGGAGGAGAAGGAGGAGGAGGAGGAGGAAGTGCATCCTTTGTGTGCCCGCTCGAAGAAAGTGCGCCCCGTGTGATATTCTGACTTGGGACGTGCTCCCGGAAGAGGAAGAAGTGCATCTCGGGCGTGCCCGCTCGAGGAAAATGCGCCCTAGGGGGGTAGTGTTTTGACTCGGGGCCCGCTCCCGGGACGCCTCTGCGGGAGGAGGAGGAGGAGGAGGAGGAGGAGGAGGAGGAGGAGGAGAGGAGCAGGAGGAGGAGGAGGAGGAAAAGGAGGAGGAGGAGAACCAGGAGGAGGAGGAAGTGCATCCCGTGCGTGCCCGCTCGAGGAAAGTGCGCCCCGGCGGGCGTCGTATCTGCCCCGGCCCCCCCCCCCCCCTGCGGGGAAGGGATCAAAGGGAAGGGGCTTCCCTTCGACTCCACTACGACGTCGTTTAATCTCGCTTTGGATAGCGCGCTTGACGAGGAGAGCCCTGGGAGGGGGAGAACGGAGACGACGGAGACGACGAGTCGAACGGAGAAGCCCCTCACACACGCCGACAGGGTCGGCGGATTTCAACACCGCGAATCAACGTAACTGCTGCGCCCTGACAGTCCTGAGTTATTCCCAAACACAGTTTCTGCTACGTTGGAGTCAGTGAAACTGCTGCACGTGCTTAAGACGAGTGTACGTTGCGCTACGGCGAACACCACAGTTTGAAAACCACCCGCCCTCAATCTGCGAAGCTCTTGACATCTGTTAAGACGAATGTGCGCGGCGCTAAGACGAGAGCGACATTTTGAAAACGGCCTGTCCTCAATCCATGAAACTCTTGGACATGCGAGAGCCATATTTTGAAAACCGCCCGCCCTCAACCCGTGAAGCTCTTGCAAATGTTTCAGACGATTGTGCGCGGCGCTCAGGCGAGAGCCACATGTTGAAGACCAACCGCCGAGAATCCGTGAAACCCTTTTTGCCAATATTGAAGACGAGTGTGCCTGGCGCCGATGCGAGAGCCACAGTTTGAAAATAGCCTGCCATCCATTTGTGAAGGTCCTGCCACTCCTGAAGCTTCAGGATCATAAACGGTAAGGAAGTCTTAGGCGAAACGCCTGGCCCGCCCTTCCGACTGGCCTTGGGGTGCGGCAGGGAAGAGGTATTGCACGGAAAAGGAATAGAGGAGGAGGAAAGACAAGACAAGACCGATCGCAATGCGATATCAAAGCACAATGCCGTCCCCTCTGAGCTCGACGAGCACCGCGAGGAAGGGCAACGGCAAGCACACGAATATCACTCCTGCGGGCAAGTAACATCATCTGAGGGAGGACAGATCGTCGGGAAGCCCACGACATGCTCCACCTGGTCCTCACACTCCTACTCATGACACTCCTCCCCCTGATCGGGAGGAAGCTCGACGACGGCTCACATCGCCGCCTTCGCTGCCGTGGCCGCCGCCGCCTGCGCCGCCAACACTTTGGCCTCGCGGGTCTGGCGGTTCACATCTTCCACCGTCCCGTGGTCGGAGGGGGCTGGGCTGGGATCACGCAGGGCAATTCCACAGAGGCGGCACCCAGTCCAGCCCCCTGGCGAATTCCGAACCCCTTGGCCAGTCGGATCCTCCTGATCGCATCTTCAATATCTTCGCGCTCAAGCTCTATCTTCGCCTCTCGCTTATCGCACGCCCTGATCCCAGCGTTGTAGCTAATGAAGTCGGGCTCTACCTTCGCCTCCCACTTCCTGCATAATGTCGTGAGATTCTTGGGGCCAGGCTCGCCCTTCTCGCACGCGCTGCTGCCAGCACTGTGGCTAGCTATATCGGGCTCTAGCTTCGCCTTCCCCTGCTCGCACGCCCTGGTCCCAGCACTGTAGCTGATGATGTTGGATCCTGCCTGCACCCCTTGCTCGCCCGCTCCTTCTTGGTGCAGCTACTGCGCGTCCTTTTCGCACGCGCAGTCTGCTCCCTCGTGGGGCTGCCATTGTTCGCCCTTCTCGCCTGCACTGGTGAGCGGCGATAGGGCTTGCTGCCACTGCCCGCCATTTTCACGCGCCCTGCTCTCAGAGCTGTGGCAGACGCCCACGGGCTCCAGCTTTGCTTCTGAGTTCTCGTGCGCACTGATGCCGGCGCTCTAGGTAATGACGTCGAGCTTTGTATTCACCTTTCTCATATGGGGCTCCAGCTTCCCAGCAGTGTGGCTGATGACGTCGGGCTCTCGCTTCGCCTTCTGCTTCTTACAAGGTGTCAGCGTCGTAGTACCTTCTCGCACGGCGTGTGTTGTCAGAGACTGTTGCCTCTTACCGCCCTTCTTACACGCACTGCTGCCGGAGCGGTGGCGGGTGCCCTCGGGCCCCAGCTTCACCTTGAGTTTCCGCACGCACTGATGCCAGCACTGTAGGTGATGACCTTGGGTTTCACCTTCGCCTTCCTCATGTTGGGCTTCAGCTTCGCCTCCAGCTTCTCGCATTGAGCCAGAGCCGTTTGCCACTGTCAGCCTTTCTCGCTTTGCTCGCCCTTGGGTACGAGTTCGGGATCTAGCCCCCTCCTCCAGCTTGTCGCAAGGTGCCAAAGTCGTTGGCCGCTGCCCGCCCTTCTCGCAAGCCTTGACCCCAGCATTGTAGCTGATGATGTTGGGCTCGCTGGGTGGCACCAGTGTTTGAGGCTACCACTGTCCACTCTGTCGCCCCTCCGCTTGGCCCCCCGCCCCCTCGTAGATCTCCGTCCACGGGAGGCTCCACCAGGGCAGCTGGAACTGAGGTGCCCAGTCCAGCTCTGCCTGGCGGCACGTGGCCAGCCAGAGCCTGCGGTCGGCGCGTCTGCGGCTGCTGCTAGCCGCTGCCTTGGGGGGCCGCTCTCCTCTGGCTGAGGCGCCCACACCACAGCTCGGCTTGCAGCATCCTCACGCGCCGCTGCACGGCATCGGGGCTGGGGGCTTCAGCTCCGCGGGCTGGTCGCCGGAAATGGCTGCGGCCGCGCTGTTGAGCCACCGAGGAACGGAGGAGGAGGAGGAGGCGGAGGAGGAGGGGGAGGAGGAGGCTCGCCAACCAGGATCCACCATGCCGTCTCAGGGGTGTCACCGAGCAAGGTAAGTGGCTCCGCTTACATCTCCTGCTTCTCCTCACTCTCCCCCTCACGTCACATATATCATGTCCTTCCTCCCTCCCTCCCTCCTCCCCTCATCCTACACTTCCTGCTCAACTGGAACCCCCGGGAGGGCAGACTCGACGAGACCAGCCTTCGCAGTGGGGCATATCACGGCCACCTCTGCACCTCCAGGAGCGCCGACCCCCGCACGCCTCCCTGCAGAAGCTCCCAGCCCACGGGCTGGCCGCCCGTTGCGCGCGGAGATCCGGGGCGCCGCGCTCGACCCCCGGCGCTCGTGCGTGAGTTGCTGAATCGGGCGTCGAGTAGTGGGTGGGGGGAAGATGGGGGAGGTGAGGAAAGGTATACCTCTTGTGCCCTAGATGGGCACGACATTTGCACGTTTCTCCCCGCTGCATCTATCGCCCCCCATTCATCCACGCCCGGCGGGAGGTGCCCCTGGCCCAAGATTCTCCCAGCTGTTCGCTCAATTCTGGAGCCCCTGGGGCCATCTGGGTCTCGTGAAGGGTGCTCCAGAGGTCGTGGGGGCCTCCTTGGAAATCCTGGGGGCACCTTGGGCCAGGTGATTCTGGCAACACCCGGTTCGTGTGGACTTCCCGCCGTTGGCCTTTCTCTGCAGACCATTGCCCTGAAGGGTTGAGGGCCGAGGCTCTCGGACTCTCTTGAGGCCTTTCTGGGCCTCTCTGGAGGCCTCGGGTGGACCTCCGAGACCTCCCGCTGGGAAGGGGGTCCGAGAGGGCAGGGAGAGGGTGGGCATCCAGGAGTGCCAGATTTGCATGATTCGCCGCCGTAGCTTCTTCAGAGCGCCCAAGATCTGGTTGCTCTTTCACCCCCTGTCGCCGACAGCGAACAGGTGTCGAGACACGATAGGTCTTCGCCCCAACGATTGCTGATATTGCTGAGACACGGAGGAGAGGGAGGAGAGGGAGGGGGGAGTCGGACAGGGAGGGATGAGAGGAGTCAGAGGCCATACGTGATGAGGAAGACATGATGAGGAATACGAGCAGCCGGAGGAGGAGGAGGAGGAGGAGGAGGAGGAGGAGGAGGGCGAGGAGGAGGAGGGCGAGGGGCGAGACAGGAAGGGAGGAAGGGAGGAAGGAGAGGGAAGAGGGACAGGGAGCGGGAGGGAGGAGGAGGAGCAGGAACAGGAGCATGTTAGGGCACGGGTGGTTTCTTTCCCCCGAAAATGTGTTGTGTTTTTCTTTGAACGGGGATACCAACCTCGTGGCCTAAAACGGGCATGGCAGATAAGTGGGATGAGGTGCTGAGTGCGGAGCACCTGGCGAGGAGCAGGAGCAGCAAGAGGAACTGCAGGAAGAAATGGACCGACTCCGCTGGCCCAGGCGGCCGCGCGGCTCGCTGCCGGCGCTGGGGGGGGAGGGGGCATGCGGGAGGGGCCGAACGGGTGGGCGGCTGGTCAAGCGAGGGGTCGCCTGAGGCAGGCAGCGCCCACCCCCCCCTCCTCCCCAGCACACGCACACACCACACGGACACGCACACGCACACGCACACGCACGCCACTCACACAACACACACACACACCACACACACACACACGCACCACACACACACACACCACACACACACACACACACGCACGCACACGCACGCACACGCACACGCACACGCACACACGCACACGCACACGCTCACACACAACACACACAACACACACACAACACAACGCACACGCACACACACACACACACCACACACCACACACACACACCACACACGCACACACGCACGCACGCGCGCACACGCACACGCACACGCACACGCACACGCACACGCGCACGCTCACGCGCACGCGCACGCGCACGCGCACGCACACCCGCACGCCCGCACACACGCACACACGCACACACGCACACACGCACACACGCACACGCACATGCACACTCACACTGACGTGCACACTTTCACACACACACACACACACGCGCACACACAGACACACACACACACACACGGGCACACACACACACACGGGCTCACGCACGGGCACACGCACACGCGCACGCACACGCACACGCAAACACACTCGCACGCACACGCACACGCACGCGCACACGCACACGCACGCGCACGCGCACGCGCACACGGACACGCACACGTACACGCACACGCGCACGCGCACGCGCACGCGCACGGGCACGCGCACGCATCCGCTCACGCACACGCACACGCACCCGCATGTGCACACGCACGCGAGCTCAACGAAGAAGGGGAGAGAGGAATGAATAAGAGAGGAGGGGAGGAGGAGGAAGAGGAAGAGGAGGAGGAGGAGGAGCAGCAGGAGGAGGAGAAGGAGGAGGAGGAGCAGGAGGAGGAGGAGAAGGAGGAGGAGGAAAAGGAGGAGGAGGAGGAAGAAGACGCCGAACATGAAGAAGAGGAGGAGATGGAGGAGGAAGAGGAGGAAGAGGAGGAGGAGGGGAAGGCGAAGGAGGGGGAGGGTAAACGAGGGGGGAGACTGCCGCCCCCGCTCGACCCCTCCCCGACCCATGTGGGCCGCGGCGCTGCCGGCTGTCTCGCGGCAGCCCGCGCCGGATTGCGCCCCATGGCCCCGCAGGACGGCGCGCCGCGGGCCGCAACACTCTTTGTGAATAGAGCAGTGCTCGGGCGTCCTTCCTTCCTCCCGCCGTTTCCCTCCTCCTCCCGCCTCCCTCTTGTCTCCTCTGGCCTTGTGCGGACCTCGCCATCCCTGGGGGGTCCGATCTGCGAGACTGTCGCCACTTTCGAAGGCTGCTGGGGAGGCCAGCAGAGTGGGCACTCACCGCGGATCAAAATTAGACCTTGCCATCCCTGGGGGGCTGCGATCTGCGAAACTGTCGCCACTTTGGAGGGCCGCTGGGGAGGCCAGCAGAGTGGGCATTCACCACGGATCACAACTAGACCTCGCCATTCCTGGGGGGCTGCGATCTGCGAAACTGTTGCCACTTCCGAGGGCTGCTGGGGAGGCCAGCAGAGTGGGCACTCACAGCGGATCAGAACTAGACCTCGCCGTCCTTTCGGGGCTGCGATCTGCGTAGCTGTCGCCACTTTCGAGGGCTGCTGGGGAGGCCAGCAGAGAGGGCACTCACCGATGATCCAAATTAGACCTCACCATCCCTGGGGGGCTGCGATCTTTGAGGGTGCCGCCACTTTCGAGGGCTGCTGGGGAGGCCAGCAGAGTGGGTACCCACCGCAGATCCAAAGTAGACCTCGCCATCCCTGGTGGCTGCGATCTGCGAAACTGTCGCCACTTTCGAGGGCTGCTGGGGAGGCCAGCAGAGTGGGCTCGCAGCGGGTCCAAATTGGACCTCGCCATCCTTGGGGGGCTGCGATCTGCGAAACTGTCGCCACTTTCGATGGCTGCTGGGGAGGCCAGCAGAGAAAGTACTCACCGCGGATCACAACTAGACCTCGCCATCCCTGGGGGGCTGCGATCTGCGAAACTGTCGCCACTTTCGAGGGCTGCTGGGGAGGCCAGCAGAGTGGGCACTCACAGCGGATCAGAACTAGACCTCGCCATCCTTGGGGGGCTGCGATCTGCGTAGCTGTCGCCACTTTCGAGGGCTGCTGGGGAGGCCAGCAGAGAGGGCACTCACCGATGATCCAAATTAGACCTCACCATCCCTGGGGGGCTGCGATCTTTGAGGGTGCCGCCACTTTCGAGGGCTGCTGGGGAGGCCAGCAGAGTGGGTACCCACCGCAGATCCAAAGTAGACCTCGCCATCCCTGGTGGCTGCGATCTGCGAAACTGTCGCCACTTTCGAGGGCTGCTGGGGAGGCCAGCAGAGTGGGCTCACAGCGGGTCCAAATTGGACCTCGCCATTCCTGGGGGGTTGCGATCTGCGAAACTGTCGCCACTTTCGAAGGCTGCTGGGGAGGCCAGCAGAGAAGGTACTCACCGCGGATCACAACTAGACCTCGCCATCCCTGGGGGGCTGCGATCTGCGAAACTGTCGCCACTTTCGAGGGCTGCTGGGGAGGCCAGCAGGATGGGCACTCACCGCGGATCCAAAGTAGACCTCGCCATCCTTGGGGGGCTGCGATCTGCGAAACTGTTGCCACTTCCGAGGGCTGCTGGGGAGGCCAGCAGAGAGGGCACTCACCGCAGATCAGAACTAGACCTCGCCATCTCTGGGGGGCTGCGATCTGCGAAAATGTCGCCACTTCCGAGGGGTGATGGGAAGGCCAGCTGAGTGGGCACTCACCGCGGATCCAAGTTTGACCTCGCCATTCCTGGGGGGCTGCGATCTGCGAGGGCCCCGCCACTTTCGAGGGCTGCTGGGGAGGCCAGCTGAGTGGGCACTCACCGCGGATCCAAGTTAGACCTCGCCATTCCTGGGGGGCTGCGATCTGCGAGGGCCCCGCCACTTTCGAGGGCTGCTGGGGAGGCCAGCAGTGTGGGCATTCACCGCGGATCAGAACTAGACCTCGCCGTCCCTGGGGGGCTGCGATCTGCGAGGGTGCCACCACTTTCGAGGGCTGCTGGGGGGACCAGCAGAGAGGGCACCCACCGTGGATCAGAATTACGTTACAGAGGAACCCCACATGCTTATTTTATGCCAGGTGTGTTCACAAACCATGTCACATCCAGCTTCGCCATCCTCGATGCTGGAAACCGATCCTGGTGAGGAATGTGCCAGGCACTAGTTGTCGCACGTGCCCCCCGGATCGATTCACCTGCCTTATATTCCCCCTCTTCCTCCTCATCCTCCTCTTCCCCATCCTCCTCCCCCTACTACGACTACTCTAACTACTACTTCGACTGGTAGTAGTAGTAGTAGTAGTAGTAGTAGTAGTAGTAGTAGTAGTCGTAGTCGTAGTCGTAGTCGTAGTCGTAGTCGTAGTCGTAGTCGTAGTAGT